GGCTGGCCTTGAACTTGTGATCTTCCTGCCCCAGCCTCCCAAGTTGCTGGGATTACAGGCATGTGCCACCGTACCTGGTTCAAATTGAAATAGTTATAAGAGCTCATCTGAGTGATTGAAATCTGGGCTCTCCATTGGCCTTTATCAAATGGAGCTGGATGCCAGAAACTCCTTAGGATGGTGTGGAAGAAAGAAGCCCAACCCTGGGCTCGATGGCTGGACGGGGCAGGCACCACGTCCTCCGTCCAACCCGAGAGGGGATGATTCCCAGTTGCCTGGTTTCTCGCCGGAGATCATTGCTTCAGTATGTTACCAGTAGGTGCCCCAAGTCCCACCCAATATCCCTCCACTCAACCACCAGAGTGACATGAGTGACATGCTGAGTCTCCAGCCTACCCCTCACCCACCTGCCACCTGAAGGTTTCTGTCCACGTTTTCCCAGCAACTGGAATTTTTCAGGTGATTAGGCACCTCATAGCATAAACTTGAAAAGCTGTAGATGAACCAACATACATCTATTTATACAATTTAGATTATGGATTTGATGACACAAATATTGAAAATCTGAGTTATATAGCTCATAACTTCTAAGTGAGCTACACATAACTTTTTTTTTTTTTTTTTTTTTGGTACTGGGGATTGAACTCAGGGGCACTCGAGCCCTGAGCCACATCCCCAGGCCTATTTTGTATTTCATTTACAGACAGGGTCTCACTAAGTTGCTTAGTGCCTCGCTTTTGCTGAGGCTGGCTTTGAACTCATGATTCTCCTGTCTTAGCCTCCCGAGCCGATGGGATTACAGGAGTGTGCCACCGCACCCAGCTACACATAATTTATCAAGCATACTTTTTGCCCTCTGCCCACTCATCATGAAATGGTTTCCGTTTCCTTTTTGCAGAGCTGGGGACTGAGTTGTACCCCCAGTCCCTTTTGTCCTATTTATTTATTTAGATGGACACAACACAACACAATTTTCATGTGGTGCTGAGGATCGAGCCTGGGTCCCACCCGTGCTAGGCGAGCGCTCTACCTCTGAGCCACAATCCCAGCCCCGTTTTTTTCCTATTGTTTTGGTTTTTGGACACAGGATCTCGCTATGTTATCCAGGCTGGACCCAAACTCATACCTCAGCCTCCTGAGTAGCTTTCCGTTTTGAAATATATGTTAGATACACAAAATTAGAAAAAATAAAACGTTTTCTATATGGCCATCATATAGACTCAGGAGTTTTTATTCTTTGTTTCTTTTAGTGCAGAAGTGTTAAAGCAAATTCCAGGCATCATGACATTCTACTCTGATATATTTCATCGAGCAGCCATTAAAAAATAATCCTGGGGCTGGGGTTGTGGCTAAAAAAAAATGAACTCAAGGAAAAAAAAATACTTTTATGTAGATTCCAAAAAATGTAACCTCTGAGGCCCCCACCTCCCCCGACCTTGGGTATAAAGTTCCAAACATTTCCAGACTCAAGGTCCAGAGAATTTTAAGTGATAGCCTCTCTGGGCCCTGCAGCCAATAAACCTGCTTCTTGATTCCTTGGTGTTTGGCCTCTTCTGCCCTACATCACAACCACAAGAGCGGGATCCCAGAGAGAATAAATTAGACTCCTATGTATATATAATCTGCCAAAATTCGTTCTACTATCATGTATAACTAAAAAGAGCAAATAAAATAATGATAATGATAATCATCATCATCATCATCATCATCCTGCCAAGTGCTCTGGTGCATGCCTATAATCCCAGCAGCTGGGGAGACTGAGGCAGGAGGATTGCAAGTTTGAGGCCAGCCTGGACAATTTAGCAAAACCCTGCCTTGAAATTTAAAAATACAAATGATAAAAAGGGCTAGGTGTAAATTTCTACAGTAGAGTGCCCCCACATTACAAAGGGAAAAAAAAAAAGAACATATTGGCTATCCAACCATAATCAAACATTTCTAGTTTTCTCCAACTGTCTTTTCGTGATGGCTTTGTTCAAGTCAGGATTCACAGAGGGCCTCCCGTCACGGCCACACTGGGTGGTGGTGGTGTTGTTCCAAACCGTCTTTTTGAGTCACTTTTGTTCTGATGTTTTCTGTTCACTCCATTCCGTTGCCTCGTGGCAGAAATGGGTCACCCGTCTCTCAGAACTTCCTACACTCTGGACTTCCCTGCTTTTCATCCTGTCCCATAAGCTGTACTTTGTCCCCCTGTTCCCCATTACTTAACCCCAGGCCTGAGTAGACTCAAACCAGCCTGTGGGTGAGAGCACACAGCTGAGACCTTCGGAAAGCGTCCCCTGAGGCCTCTGGGTGGGGAGCTGGACAGCCAGCCTTCCCCTCCGGAAAATTCCCAACAACTTTCCACTTGTAGTGGAATCTTCCTTCCTTATCTGAGGCAATGATTTCATTAGTGATTGGAAAAATCAGTGCCTTGCGCCTGGATCAGCTGGAATTTTTCTGTAAACAAGAATTCCTCCCAACAACCAGGTCTGTATGGTTACCCAGAAATGTAGTTCAATGAGGAGAAAGAAGACAGAAGTTTTTTTCCTTTCTAAAAAGTAACGTTAGCTGGGCACGGTGGCACATGCCTGTCATTCCAGCACTTCGGGAGGCTGAGGCAGGAGGATCTCAAGTTCAAAGCCAGCCTCAGCAAAAGCAAGGGGCTAAGGGACTCAGCGAGACCCTGTCTCTAAATAAAATACAAAATAGGGCTGGGGATGTGGCTCAGTGATTGAGTGCCCCTGAGTTCAATCCCCAGTTTCTCTGGATTAGTCCCAATTAGTCTCATGTCTAAGCCAAGGTCACAGGTTTGGGAGAAGGACCTAGCAGAGGTGAACACCCTTCTCATCACATGGTATCAGAGTTGCCTACATGGGTACGGCTGTTAAGAAAAAAAATTTTTTTTAATTTGTGGTAAAATATATATTGCTAAAGTGACATTTTAAGTCATTTAATGCAGGCAAAAAATATTTGGCGAGGATTTCGTTTTGTTTTAGTTTCTTTGCTATTTGCCTAGCATGTTCGTTTTCTATTGATGCTGTACCAAGTCACCACAATACAATCACTAAAGGTAACACAAATTTATTCTCTGCGGATCATCAACACCCACCAAATCAAGGAGCACAGGAAGGCTCCTCCGTGGAGTTGCTAGGGAGGAACCCTTTTCCTGCCTTTTCCCAGCCTCCAGAGGCACCTGGGTTTTTTGGCTCAGTGTCTCTTCCTCTGTTGCTATGATACTCTATTTATTTTTTGGTCCATGGTCCCTAGCTCCAGGGATTAGGACAATAAGGGTGAAGTATTTGGCTTCTTGTCTTTGGTTTCCAAAGAGGCTTCAAGGCCATAAAGGCCAGGAGCCCTCTGTTAGGAAGGTGGGGCACTTTCAGCCTCAGAAGCAAGGTCTCTCTCCTACCTGACCACCCCCCTTCACCTGCTCCTTTTTCTCCCCAAGGCAGGTCTTAGAAACTAGAGCTTCCTGAGATGGGCCACAGAGAGGAAAAACCTACCCTAGCCTTCCCCCACCTCGGAGATGGCCAGAGAAAACATTGCCTGAGAGTAGATCTTTTTTTTTATTTCTTTCTTTAAAAAAAAATCTGTATTGCTGAGGATTGACCCCAGGGCCTTGGGCACGCTAGACAAGCGCTCACCCCTGAGCTGCCCCCAGCGCATGAAGCTCTCAAACCTCTCCTGGCAGGAGCAGTCCTGCCCGTGCCCCAGAGGGAGGGGTGCAGGCCGACAGTGCCACTGGGCTCTGCCCTCAGTCCAGCAGAACTAGAGGAGACCACCTCTACCCAGTCACCCACGCTTTAGTCACGCTCATGCCTTGAAGTCTCCATAGAAGCCCCAAATGACAGAGAGCTTTCCCGGGAGCTGAACACCTAGAGGTTCCTGGAGGGTGGCACACCAGGAGGGCATGGCAGCTCCTCCCGGGTTCCCGTATGCCTGGCCCCGTTCACCTCTTCACCTGTCCGCTTCGTAACATCCCCTGCAATAAACCCACTAAAGAGGGTGTTTCCTGGAGTCCCGGGAGCTGCTCTTGCAGATCAATCGAACCCCCATTTATAGCTGGTGGGTCCGAAGCCCAGGTAAAGCATATGAATGGGGCTCTCCAAGTGTCTGAACTGAGCAGTCCTGGGGACCCAGCCCTCAGCCTCTGGGATCCGATGTCGTCCCCAGGTAGACACTGTCAGAACCCAGTTGAAATACAGGACACCCCGCTGGCACCCGCCACCGGAGACAGTGTAGTCTGAGAAACTGAACTGAGCTGGTTCCTTCCCCTGTGACAGAATCTCCAAAGCCAGCCATGGTGCCTGGAGGCCTCAGTTGCTCCTGGCCTTCCTCCTCCTCCGTGCGTCTTTCTACTCTGGCCAGGAAAGGTTGGGTTCCCAGGACTCCTGGGATTAGACTGGGCTCAGCCGCGGAATTCAGGATCATCTCCTCAAGTCAAAAGTCCACAGCCTTAATCACATCTGCGGAGTCCCTTCTGCCTTGGAAGGTAACCCATCCCGGGGTCCTGGGGCGGGGACACCTCCAGTGGACCATGATCCTGCTGGCCAGGCCGGGTTACCTCTTTTTTATGGAAATGATGCCRTTCCCATTTAATGCAGCTCGGTCGACTTTCCTTCTAAAGTCCATCTCTTTTTTCGGTGAACTCAGTGGTTTTGCCTGAGTATCTGCAGCACCCCGTTTTAGATGGGAAACAAACCAACAAAGCGAGGTGGTGAAACGGGCAGTTAAAGGCAGATTTGGGAAACTGAGGCCTGCTGAGAAGGTTCCAGAGACCCAGCCCAAGTCAGGAAGCAGCTAGGGTTGGGAAAACATAGTGTCCGTTTCATAGGAAACCTGTCCCCTGGACCTAGCAACAATCGTGTTGACATAGCCCTGCTGATCAAAGCAAGCCCCTAACTGCCCTGGGCCAGTTCCTGCAGCTCACTCAGCGGATCCGGTCCGGATCTGGTAAATATAAAAGATCTGGTCCCTGGAGTGGGGTGGCTACATCCTGCAAGAGGTAGCGAGGACTTTGCCAGTCCCAGGCAGGCACTGTGAGTGGCATGGCTCCCTCAGAGGACTTCAGGGACTGGAGAACCAGCCTCAAAGACACCGGCCTAGAGACCAGCTCTGGTAAGGGGTGGCACAGGGCACCCCAGCCCTGGAGAAAGATCAGCTTCGGTAAAGGGGAGGTGGGCAGGCCAGGTGGGGGTCTGACGACACCCCACAGTGGAGTGGGGGGCTTCACGTAGTGCCTGAATTGACCAGCTGACCAGAACATAAGCTTTCTTCTGAGTCCATGGCGTGGTGAAGAGGGCAGAATTAAGAGAACAGGCATGTTGTTTGGTTCACCTGAAAAGTTAGTTTTTTAAGAGAACAGACTGTGGTTTTAGATAGACCAGCTCTGACTCTTGCTTTATCGATAATTGATTTTTTTTGCTCACTCTTCTACCACCTAATAGGCTCTGAGCTAGGGAGAAGGTGGGGTACAACAGTTAGAGTAGGGATCCCCAGGTAGATGACACCGGGCGTGGATAGGACTCTCTGAGGCCATGGACAAAAGTATGTGGGGAGAAGCCAGGTGAGATGGTGAATACCTATAATCCCAGGGATTTGGGAGGCTGAGGCAAGAGGATCCCCAGTTAAAAGCCTGTCTCAGAAACTTAGCAAAACCCTGTCTCAAAATAAAAAGGGCTGTAGCTCATTGGTAGTGCACCCTCTGGATTCAATCCCCAATTCCACAAATAAAATTAAATTTAAAGGGCTGGGGAGCCAGGCACAGTGGCGAATGCCTGTAATCCCAGCATCTAGGGAGGCTGAGTCAGGAGAGAGTTCAAAGCCAGCTTCAGCAAAAGGGAGGCACTAAGCAACTCAGTGAGACCCAGTCTCTAAATAAAATACAAAATAGGGCTGGGGATGTGGCTCAGGGGTCAAGTGTCCCTGAGTTCAATCCCCAGTACCACAAATAAAATAACATTAAAAGGACCAGGGTATAATAGCTCAGTGGAAGAATGTTTGCCTAGCATGCATGAACCCCTGGATTTAATTGCCAATATTACAAAAATGTGTTTAAAATAAGAAAAGACTATGTGGGGGGACAGTACGTGGAGCAGCACAGTACGCCCCAAGAACCACCAACACCCACATGAATTAAGCTTCAGTTTCCTCACCTCTAGGAGGTGGCCCCGGCCGTCCTCTTGATGGAGGACCCTGCTATTCCCAGTGTGCTCCATGGACCCACAGGCGCAGCCTCTCTTGGGAGCCTGCTAGAAGAGCAGAATCTCAGCGCCCCCACCCCCAATGAGCTGCCCTCTCACAAGGTCCCTGGGCAGTTCACGTGCCCAGGAAAGTGGAGGAGCCCCGATGTGCTGAAYTTGAGGCTCCAGGGTGGTGATGAAGACAGGGTCTCGGGCTGGGGGTGCAACAGAGCTGTAGGGTGCTTTCCCAGTGTGTGCRAGGCCCCGGGTTCCACCCCCAGCACCACCAAAAACACATAGAGTAAAAATGAATCCATGCTGACCCCGTATTCTGAACCCCCAGCTGTCCTGTCACGTGGGTCACTTAAGCCCTACGGAACAGATGAAAGGATGCACTGGGAGACCTCGTCCCTGGCTGTGCCAACACCAACCTTGGTCTTTTCCTTCCATCTAGGTGGGAAGCGGGCCCGCTGTCACAAGGCCATCCCTACGGCTCACATGACTTTCGTTATTGACTGTGTCCGTGGGAAACAGCTCTCCCTAGCAGCTCCCCGAGTGCCGCCCCAAGTCCCCAGCCCTAGCCGGGGACCTGCTACTCTGCCAATGAAGACCTATATTGTGTTCTGTGGGGAAAACCAGCCCCGATCAGCTTTGGACATCCCCCGGGGTGGGGGGTGCCTTGCCCAGGCCAAGGATGCCCTGCCACCCCGCCCACCCCGCAGAGGGGCTGTGGACCCTGCTTCCCTCCCAGACAGCCCGCCCTGCCCCCAGGGGACTCCTAAAGCCAAGGGGAGGCCCCTGAAGACTGGGCCTGCGAGGTCTTCAACCTGGGGGACAGTCAAGGGCTCCCTCAAAGCCCTCTCTTCCTGTGTCTGTGGGCAGACGGATTAACGGGAAGGGCCAGGCTGTGGGAGGAGGGGTTGGCATGCCAGGTCCCAATGCTCAAGGGCTGTGACTCCCAGGCCAGCTTCCTGTCCCCTGGGCCTACTAAAGGACAAAGGAAACAGCCAACAGGTGCACGTCTGCCTCCTCCATCCTTCCCATCCCTGCCAACCTTTCAACAGAGGCGGACCAGGACCCCGCTGCGGGGACAGAGATTCACCGTTCACCCAGCAGATACCAGAGGAGCATCTTCTATGTGCTGGCCCTGGGCAAGGCCCGGGACCTCGTTCTGGTTTTCACAAAGCTTCTATTCTTGGGGCAGGGGGCGGGAAGAAGGGTTCAACAAGTAAGCCAATAAATAAAGAAGGCGATTGTGACCCGAGTGCTCGGCAGGAACTGGAGGGAGCTGCTGGGCCAGGCATGGCTGGGGGACAGCTTTCCTGATATGGTGCTTGGGAGAGGCCTTGTCAAGCAGGTGACACTTACAGGACCATTGGAAAAATGGGAAGGAGCCAGCTGGTGGGAATCCACCCTCTCCAGGGCACCTGCTGCATCTAGACCCGGCAGAGGCCGGTGCCCCTGCGTGACAGGCAGGGTCCGCATGTTGCTGCGGCCATCTTGGCTCAGAGGCAGGCATGGAGGTGGCTGGGACGGGCCATTGAGGGTGGGTCAGGGGGTTGGGAGGCTCAGGGAAGTGGCCACAGGAAACTAACCCAGAAGGCAGCCTGGTGTCGGGGGGGATGTGACCATGGAAAATAGGGGGACCCAGCTTCCCAGAAGGGGTGGAGGTGCTCAGAAATGAAACGGGCAGCACATTTGAACAAGTGGAGAGATGACTTATTGAGCATCACCCACCCCAGGCTCATACTGCCCTCTAGGGACACAGGAGACAAGGGAGCCAGGGAGCCTGGTCCTCACAGGCCAGTCAGGTTCCAGAGCAAGGCGGGGCTGCTSATGGTTAAGCACCTGGGTAAAAACTGCTGAACGTTCATTCATTTCTTCAGTGACAATTGAACTAGGCTTTACAAACCCTGACAATTACCACGGATTGACTGTTTCCCCTGGTTCCTGGGAACTGACATCCTCATGATGCAGGTCTAAGGGAGCACAGTTTTGTGCCCATTTCACTGGTTAGGAACCAAGGCCCAGAGAGGCTGAGGACTGCATTCAAGCTCCCACAGGCTGGTACAGTTGAGTTTCATCTGGTGCCCAAGTTCTCATTCCTAACAGTGGGCCTCCTTTGGGAAGGACCTGTCCTCTAGGCAGAGGGACCCTGAGAGGCTACACGTAACTCTCCTCTAGCAGCCTACAGCCTAGTGGGCAAGAAAAGAAGGGAGGCAGTTACCAGTTCCCAATAGCTATGATAGCATGTGTGGGGCACCATGGCACATGCCTGTAATCCCAGTCACTTGGGAGGCTGAGGCAGGAGGACTGCAAGTTCAGGACCAGCCTTGGAAACTTAATAGGACTCTGCCCCAAGTAGAGTATGAAGCTCTGTGGTAAAGCTCCCTTCTTTCGATCCCCAGTACCATAGTCATAACAATAACAATAATAACTATTATGGATTAGATATGAGGTGTCCCCCGAAAGCTCATGGGTGAGACAACGCAAGAAAGCTTAGCGGGGAAACAATCCGGTTATGAGAGCTTTAACCTAATCAGTGCATTAATCCCCTGATGGGGTTAACTGGGTGGTGGCTGTAGGCAGGTAGGTGTGGCTGCAGGAGGTGGGTCCCTGGGGGCACGCCTTTGGGGTATATATTTTGTCCTGGTTGAGTAGAGCTCAACAAGGTGCCACGTCCTGGTGCCACGTCCACCACACCCTTCTGCCAAGTTCTTCCTCACCTTGGGCCCAGAGCAATGAAACTGGCTGTCTACAGTCAGAGACCTCTGAGACTGTGAGCCCGGAATAAACTTTTCCTCCTCTAAAATGATTCTTTTTAGGTCTTTTGGTCACAGCAGTGAAAAAGCTGACTCAAACAATAAAAGTGAATAAAATAAAATTTTGAAACCTAAGTTTAACAGCAAGGACACAGAGGAAGGTGACCAGTTCACTCTGGGGACAGGGGGTCAGGGAGGGCATCCTGCAGGAAGTGACAGCTAAACAGATCTGACCAGAGATTGAGTACACAGTGGGAGGGGACCCACGGGCTTTATGCAGGAGGATCAGGGCCACTCGGTCTGACCATTCATTGATTCATTCACCAAGTATTTATTAGTCACCGCTGTATGCCAGGATCTGGGCTAGACCCTGGAATGGATCAACGAAGAAGACAGACAAAGCCCAGCGTGAAGGAGCTTGTCCTCGGGTTGGGGACATAAGCAATGCACATCTACAGAGCAGAGATCAAATCAGAGATCAAAGAGATCAGAAGCCTTCAGATCTTATTCTGGAATGGGACACAGGAAATTGGGAGCAGACAGTCTCAGGCCCAGCCTCACCTTTGAAAAGAATGTGGACAGAATGTCTGAAACCCTGGAGGCTGAGCAAAGGGGAGCCACTAGCGGGAAGGTGACAGTTATAATCTGGATGACGGGCTGGCAATGGAACTCAGTGGAAGAGCACTTACTTAGCATGCATGGGGCCTTGGGTTAGATCCCAGAAGTGTAAAAGTATTAAGAGTAACCTGGGTGACATATGTCCATTAAGAAAGCTGATAAAGCTCCCTGCCCTCCTTCTATCTTGAGGTCAGCCAAAGTCAAGGCATTGGAGGAAAGGGTGGTCTGTGGCTGCACATCTACAACCCACCAGCAGGTGTCGCCCTATCCTCAGACAGGAGGGCACTGAGCTTCTGGAAGCACCTGCCAGGCACAGGCGGGTCTGTCTTCAGAAGCCACAGCCCCTTTCATCCGGAATAATAAGTGTTCATGCTGTGCCAGGCATAGTGACATTTCAGAATTTAGTAGTGGGGGTCTGGTGAAGATTCAGAGGGACCATTCGTTTATCACTTGCTCAGTAAAGGGGGCTGTCACTGTTCCTATTGTCCAGATATTTTTATTCTATTATTTACTTATTTTGGTACCAGGGATTAAACCCAGGGGCTTTTAACCACTGAGCCACATCCCCAGCCCTTTTCTTTACTTTTATTTTGAGGGTCTTTCTAAGTTGCTTAGGGCCTCACTCAGTTGCTGAAGCTGACTTTGAATTTGTGATCCTCCTGCCTCAGCCTCCGAGCTGCTGAGATGACAGGTGTGTGCCATCACACCCGGCTGAATTCATTTTTTCCCCTTATAGTACTGAGGATTGAACTCAGTAGTGCCAACCTCTGGGCTACTTTCCAGCCCCTACTATTTCTTTTTTTATTTTGATACCAGCCTCCCTGCGCTGCCCAGGCTGACCTTGAACTTGCCATGCTCCTGCCCCAGCCTTCCGAGTCTCTCTCGGATTACAGGCGTGCCTCCGGGCCAGACAGTTCTTAGGTACCACATGCAACACCAGTTGACTTCACCAGCTCCAGTCTCGGGAGTGGGTATGATTTTCATTGCCATTTACAGATGAGGAAATGGAGGCACACAGAAGTTCAATACTCTGCTCATGGTCACTCATCAGAAAGAGGCAGAGCCCAGGTGCAGACCTGGCGTGGAAGCAGAGGGTGCTTTAGCGCTCAGTGCACCTTGATGAATGTGTAAGTGAGGAGCAGTGAACACTTCCCACGGACCCAGGGCAGGGCCTGGTGTGCACGGGAGCGTTTGGTGACTGAGTGGGTGACTGGCCTTCCACATGGTGGAGGAGCGAGCAGGAACACGGGAAAACATGGGAAGACGATGGCTTCAGGAGGGCACCCGCATGGAGACCCTGGGACATGTTGGGAGGTGGGGCATGTCCCGCTCCCTCCCCCACTGCAGCTCTGGTCAGGGGCCGAGGCTGGTGACAGGAGAGCCATCGGCATGGAGGTGGGTGACTACAGCCACTCAGAGAAGGCTTGGAGGAGGCCGCCTAAAGGCCCAAGGTTAAGGGTGCGTAAGACAGTTCTGGCTGGGCTAGGGACGTGTATGACTCCGTGGCAAAGTGCTTGCCTAGCACGCAGAGGCCCTGGGATCCACCCCAAGCACTGCCTAAATAAACGAATAAATATTTTTAATTTTGGAATAAGCAAAAAAAAAAAAAAAAAATCCCGGGTGTCTCCAATGCTGTCTGATTCTCTGGGGGCCGAACTGCTTTACTTGCCTTTGAGCCATTTCACAACTCTGTGTATTGTAACAACACACAGGCATGCGGCACAGGTGTGTCTACCGTAAACAGGTTCCGTCCTGCCCTGTGGATGGGGCCTGGGATCCACACCCCCACCACAGAAGAAGCTCATTCACTCCAGTATTCCCCGATCTACAGCTCTGTCTGTCCTCGGATTCCCCCCTGAACTGGTCACTACATCTTACTGGTTCCCTCCTTAACTGAGAGGTGAGTAAAACCTCTGTGTGTGTGTGTGTGTGTGTGTGTGTGAGAGAGAGAGAGAGAGAGAGAGAGAGAGAGAGAGAGGTGTGCTGGGGATGGAACATGGAACCCAGGGCCTTGCACACACCAGGCAAGCGCTCTACCCCTGAGCTCCACCCCAGACCAAGGCTGTAAAATCTTCAGTGACAATGTCAAGTGGAAAACCAGCCTGGGGTTACCTCAAACAAGCACAGAGCTACCACATAACCCAGCAGCTCCACTCCTGGGCACACGCCCACGGGCACAGGAGGACACGCTCACACGAAACCCGCTCACACGAAACCCGCACGTCAGCAGTGTGAGTCACAAAAGCCTAGAGGTGAGAACAACCCACGTGACCATCGACTGACCAATGGACAGACAAACCACAGTGTGTCCATACAGCATTGAAACAGAGGTGGCTTGACCTTAGATTTTTTTTCCCTACCAACCAAAGTTACAGGTGCTTACGGATTGACTCCATCAATCAGTAAGTGGAAGACTTCACTGAACCGGTGAGGGATCAAGTTTGGTGCTGGAGGTTGGCTGCCATGCCTCTCAGGACGCTGTCCCCAGCCCCTGGTATGTAGGTAGTCAAGCGACCTGCCCTCTCCTCTCAGTTCCCTGGGGCCAGCAGCCTGGCTCTGTGCCCTGCAGGGAGCACCCAGAGGACCCTCCACCCCTTCCTGTAGCCCCTAGACTCCCACAGGAAGCCCCAGGGCTTAGGACTGGTCCCTGATGTCTGGGGACAGAGGACCCCTGGGGTCCAGGCTGAGGGCTGGCCTGGCTGTACTGACTGTGAACAGTACCCTCCCCAGAGCCCCTGGCTCGGCCACAGGCCAGCAGGTTCTAGCCCCTGCCCCCAAGGACCCTCTCTTGTTTGGGGCAGAGCCTGGAGCAGTGAGACTTTGTCTTGCCCAGAAAGCCACTGCCACCGTCTCACAAGAGCTTGGCATTTCCTGAGTTTACACTAAACCCCAGCTGGACGGCTCCTCAGAGCCACCCTGGGAGGGCACTGTGCCCACCTTGGAGATGCCGAGGAGCAGGTCTCCCGGGGCTTCCCTTCCATCGCTGTCCCCAGGGCCCAGACTGGGTCTCCTAAGAGGAGCAGGGGCTCCTCCCCTCTTTACTGAGGCTTGTTTGCTTATATTTTAGTCCAATAAACATTGACTTTGTTCCTTTTCCATCCAGACTTTGGAGCCAGAGGGCAGAATAAGCCCTGTCCCGCATGGGGAACAGCATCCAGGACTGACTGACTGGGAGCAGGCGGAGGGAGGTGGCGTCCACGGAGGGTGGGGGCCTGAGATCTTCATTTCACCTCCACCCTACCTTGCTGTGTGACCCTGGGAAAGGCCTAGCCTCTCTGAGCCTAGGTCGCCCCATCATATCAGGAGTTTGGGCTGGCTCCCCGAGAGGTGTCCCTGGCCAACCAAAGTGGGAGGTGAGGCTCTGCCCGCCCGCCCCCGAGGGCACGCAGGACTTTCATACCAGTGGGTTCCTTTTGAAGACAAGGTTTGGGAAGGAGATGGGAATCAGTCAGGCCTGAGGCTCCTTGGGCTTGGTGTCTGGGCTGGCTTCTAGGCCTTTGACCTTAAAAAGGGGAACATCTTCTGTCTTCTTGCCACAGGGCGGGGACCTTCTGTGAACCTGAGGCAGCACAGAGGGTTGGGAGCCACAGTTGAGTGGGAATGACCCTGGCATKTTTGCCAGAGGGAATGGTTGAAAGGTGACCCTGCGCTCACTGTCCTGGGCTCCAGGGAAGTTTCCAGAGGATCCTCCCCAGGTCCAGCTCTTGACTCTGGACTGACAGCAGGATGACATCAGACTTTCAAGTCCCCACTGTGCGTGACAACTCTGGGTCACTTTGGCCCACGCTGATGGGTTCTAATTGGAATCTGTTCTTGCGGATTCTATGATGAGGAGGAATTACCTTTTTCTCCCTGAGTTCTGGGATCTGGTCTGTGTCAGGGTCACAGAGGTCCAGGGTACCCTGTTGTTCTTGTCTCTGGGGCCTGCAGGTCGCCTTCAGAGAACAGGTAGTTTGCYGAGGAATGCGACCTACCTGTGCTCTTCAGCCAGACAGGGTGGCAGGTAAATGGCTTTTTAACAGTGAAAGTGTGTGGGGTGGGGGTGGTCAGCACAGTGGCCCTAGTTTATAGAATCATTCCCTAACCTCACGTTCCTACTACTCATGGTCCTCTATCACTCTTAGAGTCTGTGACACCACCTGGCCTAGACTGTCCCACAGGTCCACAGGACAGAGGGTTACATCTTTTCCACTTCCAGGACAAGCCAGTCCCCTTTTCCTGAAGGAGCTGCGGGTGGGTGGTGGCGACCACGGCTTCCTGTTTGGGTGGAAGTAGCCCTGTGGGTGAATTGAGCTGGGCTGACCCAGCTGGATGACCTTGGGCCAGTTGCTTGACCTCTCTGAACCTCCCTACCCTTCACCTAGGATTATAATTAGTACCCACCTTGCAGGACTGCTGTGGGGGTGAGCAGGGCGCCTGGCACGCACTAGGCACTCAATGAATGGGCAGCTATAATTACTCCTGGGGCGGGGGCAGCCGGCCTATGTTTAGCCGGGGAAGGGTGGGGGCGCCGCAGACAAAGCGGCCCCGCGGGCGCCCAGGGGGAGGAGCCGACGACAGATGGGCGGCGCCCCCACGTCCCCGCCCTAGCCTGCCGCAGGGTCACCTTGGCTGGAGCGCCGGCCAAGGACTCCCTGAGACTGGACCAGCCCTGTCCCCAGCGGCCGATCGCCACTGCATCCCACCGGGAAGTCGCCCCCTTTTCCAGCCCGAGAGAGCCACCAGGCGAACTTGACCTTGGGTGAGGGGGGCGAAGACGCAAAGCCAGTTGGGTCTGTCCCCATGCCCGAGCCCCGCGCGGATGAATGTTGGGTCTGCAAATAGCCCAGTGGAATCAGTGAGTCACGGAGGCTGGAAATACCGCACCCCTTCTCCCCTCCAGTCCTCTGACCGCAGCCTGGTACTCCGATTTCAGTAGTGCCTGGGGGTGTGCAGGGTGGGGGTTCCTCCAGAGAGCCTGCCCCCCAGGCTTCCTGAACTAGTCAGCACCCCACCCTGTCCCCAGGTTCCAGCCGGCTGAGCTCTGTGACCTTGGGCTAGTCACTCAGTCACTCTGGACCTCAGAGCTTCCATCTGGTAGGAGGGCTTCAAAAGTCAGGCGACCTTGTGCAGCCTGCCCAGTCTTGTGTCCCTTGCATCTGTGACAGTTTGGGACGTAGTTCTTGGAACATAGTCACAAACAATAAATGTCTCTTGCAATAATGAATGAATCTAAAGGGGGGGGCCGCAGGCAGCTGGGGGATAGGGAATACAGGACTTTCATTGAAATAATCCTGGGGTTTCTGCAGGTGGGTTTGGGGAGCCAAGGGAGGCTGGGGGCACCCACATTTCCCTGAGAGCTTAGACTTTAAATTGTCTGTTTATCCTGGGTTCCCTTGCCTGGCTGCTTCCTGCCCAACCCCAGGTTTGAGAATCTCAGGCTGTGGCCCTGCAGCAGACTGCGCCACGGTGTTTATTGTGTGTGCAGATTACAGCGCCTGGACCCTCCCGTGGCCCCCACCCCCGATTCCCCCCAGGATCCCAGAATGGCTCTCTACAGTGTAGGGAGGGACTGGGGGGCTCCACCTGTCCTGGGGCCCCCAAAGACAGAGCCATCACCCCCCTCACCTTTCTGTATGTGGGAGACTGAGTCAGGGTCTTGGGGGTGGCTGAGGTTCACCAGGGTCAAAGTTGATGGGGTCCCTACCCTGGCTCAGGGACCAGGAGGGACCTGGAACGAAGATCTTCCTGTGATTCCTTCCCCAACTGGATGGAAGGAGACCGAGGTGGGGGCAGCCAGCAGCTGAGATGTCCTGGGTTCAGATCCAACCTTCAGCCACAAAACCCGACATCCAACAGCTCAGAGACAGGGCTTTCCCACTGATGAAAATGGAAACACTAAGTCTGATTTTTTTTTTTTTCTTTTTTTGTGGGTACTGGGGATTGATCCCAGGAGAGCTCCACCACTGAACCACATTCCGGCCCTTTTTTATTTTCATTCTGAGACAGAGTCTTGCTAAATTGCCCAGGCTGGCCTCGAACTTTCAATTTTTCGGCCTCAGTCTCCTGAGTTGCTGGGATTACCAGTTTCTGCCGCAGTTCCCAGGCTTCAGCTGATTTTATTCGCTCTGAATCCAGCCCCCACCAAGGTTAATGCCCCCACCAAGTATTTGAAGGACAGTGATGAGATGTGTGTGTGTGTGTGTGTGTGTGTGTGTGTGTGCATGTGTGCTATATACACACCAACCTCTAGATTCCTAGATTAAGGAGAGGGAGGGCTGCAAGAGGCTGGGTCCGACTGGCCATCCCCGCTCTCACTCCCACCCTGGGGTCCTGTCTGCTGTAGGAACAGCCTCATTTGGGCCCAGCCTCACCTGGAGGCAGCAGCAGGTAGGGGCAGCAGGAGTTTCACACTGTTTACCACCAGCCAGCTGTATTGGAAAAACCCATCTGTGCACAGACACACAGTGCCCAGCCCTCGCACAGCTGGCTGGCTGGGGCACAGGGCAGCGGGCAGCCTGCCATCTGGTTTGGGGCTTGGAGGGCGGCAGAGGGAGGTTTCCAGGATGGCCGACTCCTGGCCTCCGTGGGCCCTCCTGCAGTTCCATCCAGGTGACCACCTCTGTCTGGCCTTCCCTGTTCTGCCCGCTTGGCCAGGGCAGTTCCCATCCCTAGACCCTGCCCCTGCCTTGCAGAGACTCCACAGATCAAAGGATTTGTCTGCCTGTGTGTCCTGCAGATGATTCGCCCAAAAGCCCTGCCTGTCCCCATCCTGTTTTCCCAAAATAGGTTCTTTGGGACCTCCCTGCCCCTCCCAACCCCTGTATTCTGAATTAATTAATTAATCTGGGGTCCATGGGTGGGCCAAGGAGGTCCCTGGCCTGCCTGGGCAGAGGGGAGGGCCTTGGTTGGAAGGGATGGCCCGCCTGGGGCCTGGGGCTTCGGGGGGCTGTGATGTCCTGCGGGCCGTCRTGGAGGGACCGGGAGACTTGTCTGGCAGGCCAGGGGAGGTGGGCTGGGAGGGCGGGTGGGGGAGGCCTTCAGATTTTGATCTCCGTCCGGAAGGTCTGCTGGACGTGCTCTGTGTGCGGGTGACGCCGCGCCCGGATGGTGAGGCTGCCATCCTCCCGCAGGGCTGAGGTCACCGAGGTCGGGTCCACGTCCTCCGGCAGCTGGCACTTGTGAGCAAAGGTGTTCATGACCGTGCCATCTGCTGCCAGCTGGGGAGGGTGACAGGTCAGGGAAGGCTGCCCCTCAGCCCTGTCCTTTCATCTCAAGCCACAAGCCCTCCTCCCCACTCGGATCCCAGCCGGGCTCCGAGTGCTGAGGGGTCTGCTATCACGTGTGGCGGGGCAGCCAGGGCGGCCAGAGCGGCCACGGCCACGGGTCTGCAGGGACAGGTGCAGGGGTGCATGGGAGGACTCCAGTGGTCCCAACGCGGGAAGAGGGGCTTGGTGCCTGGGTGACCGCAGCGAGGGTGAGGCTCCGTGACAGACACTAGGATTCTGGGGCTCCTTAGCAGTGCCCTCTTGGATACCCAGACACCCTGGGTCCGCCCACCAGGACCAGGCCACCGCCCTCCCCCACAGCTCAGCCAGCACATAGTGTCCAGAGGAGTCTGGCCGGCTGAGTCACCGTCAGGATGACAGGGCTGGCACGTGCTGCCCCTGGCCCTGGTCCTCAGCTCCGGTGGCCGGGGTTCTCGGGACCAGCTCCCTGTGTACAAGGGAGGAGGCCGCTGGGGACGGTGAATCCTGTGCAGATCCCTGACAGGCAACTGGCCCCCGTGGCCTGGGGCTGCTTCCTTGCAGGCTCGGCCCCGCCCCTCTCTGGGGTGAAGGCCCCAGTGTCTCCTGGGAGCTCAGACTCAGGGACCCTAGTGACCCAGTGACCCTGAGCCTGTGGGTGGAGGAATGTGTGGTCTGGAGTGTGTGGCCTCTGCCCGGTCTCGGGCCCAGCTGGTGGCCCCAAGGTGAGGCCTGGGCCTCTGGCTCTGGGTGGAGGAGGGATGGAGTGTGGCCGTGGGGACACCCCGCCCTCTGTTGCCAGAACTGCAGTCCTCATGCCACCATTCCATCTATCTCCTGTCACATCCTTGTGACTCCCCCTGGCGTCCCCTCAGTCTACATCCCCCCCCCCGCCCACCCCTAGGCCACTCAGCTGCCCCGGCTCCTGAAGGCGGAATCCGGCAGCTTTCCGAGGGTGGGAGGACCCCTGACCCAGGAGCTGCAGGGACAAGATCTCCAGAGTGCCCTGGGCGAGTTGGGTGGGCAGGGGACACTGGCAAGGGTCTGAGGTCTGAGGACGGGAGGTGGGAGTAGGGGACACGGAGGGCCGGACTAGGCAGGGGGTGCAGAGGGGAGGTGCAGGGGGAGGCCAGGCTCACCTTCTCAGCCCGCACCTCGATGTGGTTGTTGGAGGTGGTGACGATGATGTCTTCGGGGGAGAAGTCCCTCACATCCACTGCAAACTCATAGGCGTCCCCCAGGGTCTTGATGTTGCCGGCCCCCCCGGGGCGGGCTGTGGGGAGGGCAGCTGTGAGCTGGGCATGGGCCGGGGTCGTGTCCAGAACCTGCTCTCTGTCCTTCTCTTGGGAGGCAGGTGGCTGTCCCAGGTGACCCCCCCTCCATGGTGCTTGGGGGCCCCTCCTCGACGTCCTAGCCCAGCTTCTGTGGCGGGCGGGCCCCCCTCCAGACAGTGTGTGCGTGTGCACTTGAGTGACACAGTCTGCGGCAGCCCCACCCAGTCCAGGAGGCTCGGGCTGCCTGCCACATCTCTGCACCCTCCAGCCCTCCAGGGTCCCAGCCAGAGCCTGGTCACAGGTGCATGGTCACCGAAGCCATATCTCCCCCAGGGCCACCACGGCTCCTTGGAGGCCCACCTGTTTTCAGGACCACCTCTGTCCTGGCAGGTGGCAGCCACAGTGGGAGTCCCCAACCTGAGCACCTCCCCCCCCAGAGCCCCCAGCACTTGCCTGGGAAAGCCAGGGGCTCCGAGTGGGGTCGCATGAAGCTGCCGAAATCCTCAGAAAACAGGCTCAAGGCCTTCTCCATGGGGGGGTCCTGGGCTGGGAGGGCCCGGGAGGCCGAGGAGGAGGAGGAGGAAGAGGAGGAGGAGGAGGAGGAGGAGGAGGAGTGGAAGCTTCTCTCCGCTCTGAAGGAGGAGGAGGTTCGGTGGCTCATCCACGGGTGACACCGGCCCTGTCCAGGCGGCCAGGGGAAGACAGGAGAAGGATGTGGCGCAGGCCTCCAGGGGAGCGTGCCTGGCCCGGACTGCCAGCGCTTTATAAGGCCCGACGGTCGCTGGGCGCGGGGCCAGCCCCCTTGTCTACCAGCTAAATTTAGGCCTCTCCACGGCCCAGAGGGGGCTGGAAGTCTTCTCCAGAGAATCGGCGCTGCTGACAGCCGGCCGCACGCGGGCCGAGGGCTGAGCTCACCCTGGCATTCCAGGCCTGGCTCCAGCCAGGGCCTCCGCGCCCACAGGGCAGGGGTGGGCCCTGGGCCCCGGGCACGGAGTCCTGTGCTGCCCCMGGACCGTGTGGGTTTGGTGATTCCCCCAGCAGCTTGGGGACTCTCTAGGGACTGTGCTTCCCCCATCAAACCCCTTGAGGTCCTCGGATGCACACGGCTCTGTTTACAGCCCGGCTCAGGCTGAGACAGCCCTGGGGGCCGGTAGAGTGTGGGCTGTGACCCTGCCACTCCCAGGGGGCCTGGATTCCGTGTCCCTCACCCCCTTCTCTCATCCCCTTCTTGGAACGTTTAGGGGCCCAGAGAGGAGAAAGCCGGCAGCCCCAGGCAGAGCTGGGGGTTGGGCCCACAAGGGGGTGGGGGGTGGGGCAGATAATTTGGTAATTGTCCCTAAAGATCCCGGAGGTCAAGTTCCCAGCAACTGCGAGCCTGACCTCCAGCTCAGGAGACCCCGGGCTGCAGTGGGAGGATCTGAGTCGAATTCTGGACAGTGTTCCAGCCCTGCCTTCTGGGCCCAGAGCCCCACTGTGGGAGGAGAAATGTGCCCCTTTTAAAGACTGAGAAATGGAACCTCAGAGCAAGGGTCGGGAACCCGGAGGTGTCAGATCCAGACCCTGAACATGCGCTTATGGCARCAGGCTGGAGCCGCAGCCCTGAGAAGCCCCGTCTGTCCACCCCCTGCTCAGAGAGCGACGCTGAGGGGCTGGGCCAGGAGGTGGAAGCCAGGGGAAGGCCCTTCAGGGTGGCCTGCGCTGTCCAGGAGCGGTCAGGGACCTCCACTCTCCTCTCTAACCCCTCCCTCCCCCATGGAGGCCTCTGAGCTCTCCAGTCCACCCAGAGCCCCGTCCAGGCGCCCATGACACCTGTCCCTGTCCCTGTGCCATGGCCTTCCTTGATCTAAGACTTCTGGGCAGCATCCCCCCCCATCTGCCAGGGCATCTCCCGGGCAGGGTTCGCTGGTCTCCCTGTGGACAGGGGGTCCCTGCAGAGGGATGGCCTCTCCTCTCGGCTCCCATGAAGCCCAGCCCTGAGCTTCCCCTTCGGGAACTCCTGCCATCACTGGGGCTACTGGTGTGTGACGCAGGGGCAGGCAGGGCACAGGGGCCAGGGTGGCGCTGCAGCWAGAGAAGTTTGTTGTCCCCGTGGAGATGCCTGCCTGTGTAGGCCGGTCACATAACTGACCGAGGGGGTTCTGGCAGCGCCCAGGGAAGTGACCAGCACTGAGTGAGGTGGGGGCAGGATGGGGGGCCCAGGGGCCCGCCACCCGCCGGGGTGACAGGAGCCAGGGCTAAATGCAGATACTCAGTCATGGTGCCCAGGGCCTGAGTCATGGCCCCTGGATGTCGGATCCCTTTACCCACCCCGCCCACCGGCCCTCCTCCCTTCCCCCATGCCCAGGCGTCATGCACATAAATACTGAATGGTTCCGTGGCCAGGAGGGACCTCAAAAGGTCACCAAGGCCATTCCTTAACTCTAGAGCTCTTCCTGGGGATCACAGGGATGGGAGGAGCTTCCAGGAGGATCCAGTCCCCSGAGTCCAGAGGTGGCCCCACCCACCTGGAGGCGTCTCACCAACACAGCTCCCCAAAGCCAGCTGGGCCCAGGCCTGTGATTCCAGCCACTCAGGAGGCCGAGGCAGGAGGGCCGCAAGTTCAAGGCCAGACTGGGCAACTTAGCCCATTCCCTGTGTCCCAATGAAAGTAGGAGGGCTGGGGACGCGACTCCGTGGTAAAGTGCTCCTGGGTCCAATCCTYGGTCCTGGGGCGAAAGTCACTCCCCAAGATTCTGATTTGGGGTTTGGGAGGAACCCAGACCTGTTCTCAGCCAGCCCCGAGGCCAGGGTTCTGGAACCTGGGGCGGAACACCTCCCCCATGTGCCAGGGGGCCCTGCTCTAGGCTGGGGCACTTGGACATGGGAGGCACTGGCCCTCACAGGCACAGGCACACACGGTCCTAGGCCATCCTCCTTGGGCAGAAGAGGAAAACGAGGCTCTAAGTGGGGAAAGGGTTGGCTGGCAGAACTGGCTTCAAACCTGCTGGGAACCTACTGAGCCATCTGTACGTCTGCCAGGCACTTGGAGAAACTGGAGGCTGGCTTGGGGACAGTGGCTTTGGGAGGGACTTGCCCCAGGGACTGTGTCTTCTTGCTGCCCTCTTCCCAGTTTCCTGGTGCTCGAAGGACCAGGGATCAAGGATGTGGGCGTGGTTTGGCCTTGGGACTGTGGTGGCAGCTGTCCGAGACCAGAGACTGGGGTTTGAGGTGTCAACAGGGAAGTCCCTATCCAATCCTGGACAGTCAGAGAGGCTGAGGTGAGGGCATGCCCAGTCCACGCAGAGCACAAGCCCTCACCCCCTGACGTCACCAGCAACACTCCAGCTCCTACTGGAATGGACTTGGYCTGGGGTCCAGGGCAGAGGCAGCCCAGGGTCCCAGAACTGAGCAAATCAATGAAGGACCGTTGCGATTTTCAGGTGTTGGCTTTGGGGTGGTCAGCAATGGTCCCATATCCCTTGCCCAAATCTTCTAAAAGTGGCAATAGAAACCCTCAGCTTTGTGCCCAGATCATGGCTGGAGGAACTCCCAGTAGGAGAAGAGCTGCACAGTCTAGGTCTGAGTGCAGCCCCTGCTGTGTGATCTCGGCTGAGTGACTGCACCTCTCTGGTCCTCCATGTATCATCCGCAAAGTGGTGATGATACCCCTGACTCCCAAGAGTGTGGGGAGGATGAGCTGAATTGCAGATGTAGAGCCAGTGGCTGGCACACAAAGCTTGCTTGCTCCCTTACCCTCCCCCTGATGCCTGTGTTCCTAGCTTCTGCTGAGGTGAGGCACTTACCTAGAGGCCCCAGGCCAGAGCCGGTGCCCCGGGATGCTGTGGGTTCGACAGGCAGCTTTCTAGGACTTGAAGATCCAGACACAAAGATCAAGTTCAAGTTCCTCAGCAGGCTCTGAGGGTCACCCCAGGCCACTGTCCTTGGGCTCCTCCTGCCCCTGAACAAGACGGGGCCATCCAGGCAGAACCACRTCTGGTTGTGACGGTGGTGGTGTCTTGAGATGGGGTCTTGGGGACTTGCAACGTTGCCCAGGCTGGGCTTGAACTCCTGGGCTCACGCCGTCCTCCTGCCTCAGCCTCCCAAGTAGCTGGGATTGTAGGTGTGCCACACACCCGGCCTGCCTCTCTGATCTCTGGCAAGAAAGCKTACCTCTCTGGATTGCCATTTCTTTAAAACAGGATGACACTGCCAGGCACCGTGATGCCCGCAGGTAATCCCAGCAGCTCGGGAGGCTGAGGCAGGAGGATCAAGTTGGAGGTCAGCCTCAGCAATTTAGGGAGGCCCTAAGCAACTTAGTGACACCCTGTCTCAAAATAAAAAATCAAAAGGGCTAGGGATGTCGCTCAGTGGGTTCAATCCCTGGTACCAAAACAAAACAAAAAAMCAAAAAAACAGGCTGACACGGCCACCTCGCTGGGTTTCCGTGAGCACATTCTTCGGAGGACTGAGCCCTGCCACCACTCGGCAGGGCACAGCCATGCTCCCCACCCGCCGCCAGTGTGTTCCCCTGCTCCACACCCCACTCTCCCGCTCCCATGTCGGCCCTGAGAACCCAGAGCCCCAAGCCTAAACCTCAGCCTCAGCAGGGGACCTCTCCCTGTCCTGCACTGGTGTCCCCCTCCYGGCCCGGCCCCCAGGAGCCCCACGGGTGCTGCTGTGAAGTCAGCTGCCACTCTCTGCCAGCTCTGGTGTGGAGGGGACACTCCGCTCCCTCCCCGCCGTGGGCAGCCCTGCTCTGCGGGCTCGGTGGACTCAGGCAGTTCTGGTTGGTTTGTCAAGGACGTTCTCAATGCCACAGTGAACCTGGGCCGGGCGGGGGCGGGGAGCGTGTTGRTTGGTGGAGTGCACACCTGTCCAGGTGCACTAGACCTGGACGCAGAGAGGCTGTTAGAAGAGGCCGGTCGGGGCCACAGCAGGACAGCAGGGCAGGAAGGACTGACGGGTGAGGAGCTGCCKGAGCAGCGCAGGGACATGGTTGGGACCTGCTGGGGCCGGGGCAGGCAAGGCAGGAAGAGGTTGGGGCAGGAGCCAGCGCCTCACTTGGATGCTCAAGGGGTCTCCCTCTGGGCCTGGGATTTTCCCGCCTCCTGCGGCCTGAGTGGAGGGTCACAGCTGCCCAGGGATGGGCGTGGGGAATCAGAGTCACCAGGGGGACCCTGCAGTGAGACAGTGACATCCCTGGGTGGTAGGAGCAGCCTAGGGTCGGTCCCAGGAGAGCAGTGCAGGGCCAGGGAGAGAGGAGGCTGCGGCCAGGGGTCTGGGCTGGACATGGGGATGCCTAGGAACCCCCACCCTGCCCATCAGACACGCCCTCACCCCTYGGGGACAGAGCCTCTGTGACCAGGACCTGCATCCCCTCCTGAGAAGTGCCCGAGTGCACATTCACATGCACCAGCTACACAGGCACCCAGGACCTGCCTTTCCACTCAGGAGACTGAGACCTGGCRAGGCTGGAGGCAGGTGAGGCTGAGGCCGCTCACCCAGGGTCTGTCTGTCTGTCTGCTCTTCAGGGCCCCATGGAGGAGCTGGTAGGGCTGCGTGAGGGCTCCTCGGGGAGCCCCGTGACTCTGCAGGAGCTGTGGGGCCCGTGTCCCCGCATTCGCCGCGGCATCCGAGGTGAGGTCCTTCCACTCCCCACCAGTGACCCCTCGGGACATCACCTGCAGCCCCAGCCCACCCCAGCCCCTCCCCCCCCAGCCCTGGCCGCGCTGCCCGGGCTCTCTTGGGTGGCAGGGAGCGCAGGGGCCTGCCTGCCCCTCTGTCTGTGGGCCAGCCGTGCCGGGGTCTGCCCTCTGCCTTTGGCCACCATGGAGGGGCGCTGTCTGGGGCCCAAGGCTCGATGGCCCCAGGCCCTGGGACGACGCAGGTCCTGCTGACCGCGTGCTCCGTGCACCCCAGACCCTGCCGAGACRCTGGCGAGGGCTGTCACTACCACCCGCGCCGGGCCACCCCCTGACCGCTTTCCACAGGACTCCCAGGATCGGGGCGGAGGGTGGGCAGGTCAAAGGCTCTCTGGGGGGACAACAGGACTGGCTCTACCTGCCCCCAGTCCTCTGGGTCCTCCCCCGCCCAGCAGTCCTCCAGGGAGGGCCGTCCCTGCTGGCCCCCAGGAGGTGACCCCAGTGCTCCGCCCAGGAGGCCTGGAGTGGCTGAAGCAGAAGCTGTTCCGCGTGGGCGAGGACTGGTACTTCCTGATGACCCTCGGGGTGCTCATGGCCCTGATCAGCTACGCCATGAACTTCGCCATCGCGCGAGTGGTCCGAGGTAGCCCCTCCCCGGCACGCCSGCTSTGGACCTCGGGCTTCCAGGCACACRCCAGGGATGCCACGTGGGCTGCCAAGCGCAGCAGGGTGGGCAGGGCCCTGGGGACGAGGCCTGGGGCTGACCCTGGCTTTGCTGCTGACTTGCTGTGTGGCCCTGGGAAAGCTCCTGGCCCTCTCTGGGCAGTCACTTCATCTGGACAGTGAGGGAGACAGCTGCTCCCAGACCCCTTCCCAGCTGAGCGCTGGGGCCTCCTGTTCCTCCTCCAGCCTCTCCCTGCWCTCAGCTCAGTTACCCTGGACTCCAGGCATATGGCTTTCTCTCCCTGTCCCTCAGCTGGCCTCCACCCTGAGGCCGCCCTGGCGGAGGAGGCATGGGGCAGGAGAGGTCTAAGAACTTTCATTGGAGAATCCACTGCCTTAATGAGGACCTGTCACCCGAGGGGCCTCCCACTGGGTCTCATTCAGGCCTCTACAGGTCTCCTGTAGTCTTTGGTGACCCTGAGAGGGAGGCATCTACATTGGTCCTTTTGGCAGATGGGAAAACAAAGGCCCAGAGAGGTTGAGTCACTTGCCCAAGGTCACTCAGCTAGGAAGTAGCAAAACTGGACGTGGGGACCCAGGTCCTACTCCTGCCACTTCTTGGGGGTCGGCCACTCACTGGGTGGCTGTGAGTCTCCGTTTCCTGGTGAGCAAGTGTCCCCCACAAGAGGCTGTGGGTGGCCCCCTGAYACCTGGCCATCCCCAGCGCACAAGTGGCTGTACCGGGAGATCGGGGACAGCCACCTGCTCCGGTACCTCTCCTGGACCGTGTACCCAGTGGCCCTCCTCTCCTTCTCCTCCGGCTTCTCCCAGAGCATCACGCCCTTCTCTGGCGGTGAGTTCGTGGGCACCATGCCAGTCTCTCGGGGGTCCTGCACTGCAGCCCTCACCTGCCCAAGCCTTTTGAAGTCCCATGGGGCTCCGGGGGGCGGGGGAAACAGGCTCCCCTGACAGGCTGGCCAAGGCCAGACCAAGGAGCAGCTGGTGGAGGCAGCCAGCTTCCCCAGGCCTCTAGTGCAGCCTCCAGAGAGTGGGGGCTCTCAGGCGTCTCCAGTGTGGCCTGACATTCCACCCGGGGACCCCCTACCCTGCCACTGAGGTCTGCCAGACCTGAGCAGAAAACAACCCACATCTCTGACCCTCAGTCTCCTCCTCTGCAAAGTGAGGCTCTGAATCCGAACCGCGTGGGTGTATGAGGCTGGGACCTGAGGGTGACACGAAAACCCTGTGCCCAGGGCAGAGGGTTAAGAGTTCCGATACTGACCCTCACCCCGCCCTCCCCGCCAAGGTTCTGGAATCCCAGAGCTGAAGACCATCTTGTCGGGGGTGGTCCTGGAGGACTACCTGGACATCAAGAACTTCGGGGCCAAGGTGGTGGGCCTCTCCTGCACCCTGGCCACCGGCAGCACCATCTTCCTGGGCAAAGTGGTACGGGCAGTGTGGGGCACCCACCCGGCTTCCCGCCCCTCTGCCCTTCCCCCACCACAGCCAGTCCTGCCTTTGAGCTCAGTTCTGGGGGACAGACAAGCCAGGTCCCCAGATGGGGCAGAGTCCTGTCAGGACGGCCCTGGGGTTTGGAGGAAGATGTGAGAGGGGAACCTGTTGTCCCTGGGGAGGCTCCACCAGCAGCGAGGGTGGGCCCCGGCTCCCCAGGCCCTGCACCCACGCCTCGCCTTGGCAGGGTCCCTTCGTGCACCTGAGTGTGATGATTGCCGCCTACCTGGGACGCGTGCGCACCAGGACCATCGGGGAGCCCCAGGTGAGMGCCCGGGAGGCCCCTTGGAGGAATGGGAGGGCCCGTGTGGAGGAGGCTGCCTCGAGCCCAGGACTCCACCCCCCAGAACAAGAGCAAGCAAAACGAAATGCTGGTGGCGGCAGCGGCAGTGGGCGTGGCCACCGTCTTCGCAGCCCCCTTCAGCGGTGAGACCCTCCCTCCTGCCCCTGCCCCTGCACTCGGGTTCCCACGCGCCCCTGTGGTCCACTTGCGCCTCCACACTGATCCGCCGGCTCCTGCCCCGGGTCAGGAGGAGGGGTTGGGCTGAATTCTAGTTCTCACTGCCGTCCTGCTGTGGGCACGACCTCCCCAGGAGGTTGGCAGGTGTTCAGTGGCTTCAGGGTTACCTTAGACAGAYGTGGGTTTGAAGCCCAGCTCCCGCTGTGTGACCCCTGCCAGTGAGTTCACCTCTCTGAGCTGGGTTTCCTTAGCAGTAAAATGGGGATCAAAGCAGTCCCTGCGAGACAGGTGAGGAGAAAGGAGGACACGGGTAGACATCCCACAGCTGGCTGGTGCTCCCGGGTCAGCGAGGTCCTYTCTACCCGGGGCTCTAGCCCTGACCTCCCCCACTCCAGGCAGATGAGTGGCCCTGGCTGTCCAGGCTGCAGAGCAGATCAGAAAGGGTCAGGGACCGGGTGGCAGGGGCTCCCGCAGGGTGGATGGGGGCGGGCAGCTGTCCTGAGCTCAGCGTGGCCCCAGGCGTCCTGTTCAGCATCGAGGTCATGTCCTCCCACTTCTCCGTCTGGGATTACTGGAGGGGCTTCTTCGCCGCCACCTGCGGGGCCTTCATGTTCCGGCTGCTGGCCGTCTTCAACAGCGAGCAGGGTGAGCCCGGGGCTGCGGTGCCCGCCCGCGCCTGTCCCGCTCCTCCCTCCCTCCCCCCTCCGTCCATCCTTGGTCTGCCCCTCCCACTTCCCTCTCCCCCTCGCGTCCTCTTTGTGCCTCCTTCCAGGAGGGTGGGAGGGTGTTGGGGTGCAGGAGGAGGGGGAAGGCCCTGGGGTGGGCCCTGGGGTGGCCTTGAGGGAGGGCCGATCTTGCTTCCACCTCCTCCCCCACCTGTTGTGCCATCTGAGACCCCCCGCTGCCCTCCTGCCCCAGAGACCATCACCTCCCTCTACAAGACCAGCTTCCGCGTGGACGTGCCCTTTGACCTGCCAGAGATCTTCTTTTTTGTGGCACTGGGGTGAGCCGGGGCTTGGTCCCTGAGAGCCAGCTGGGGGCCTCCTCCAGCCCAAGTGGACAGGCTCCCTGGACTCGCCTCCTGTCCCCCGCAGGGCCATCTGCGGCATCCTGAGCTGCGCCTACCTCTTCTGCCAGCGGACTTTCCTAGGCTTCGTCAAGACCAACCGGTTCACCTCCAAACTGCTGGCCACCAGGTGGGCTGCTGGCTGAGACTGGGGACCACTCAGAGGGTCCCCAACTTCAGCCTTGTGCCCCTAACTGAGCTCCGATCCTACCATCAAACAACCCCCTCCCTAGCCCACTCGCCACTTAGGGAGACCCCACTCTCTTACTGACCCCTGTGCAAGTCCCCACAGCCAGCCCCTGCACTAACCCCAGCCCCCTCCTTGAGTCCTTACACCACTGCCTCCCAACTCCCTCCCCGAGCCACCTCCCTCCCAGACCTGTCTTCCCTGCCCTCTGCCAGGACACCTGGCCTGCCCTGCCCTGGCCCGGCCCTGTCCTGTCAGCCCAGGTCCTGAGGGCTGAGCCCACCTGCTTCTTCCCCTGGGGTGTCTGACCCACACCCCAGCTCGGCCTCCCTCCACCCTAGTTTTGCCTTGGGGTCAGCCCCGGGGTGGGGGGAGCAGCCCCTGCCTGGGTGAGCCCCCTTTCCCCTTCTTGGGGAGAGGAGGCCCCCACTGGAGCCGACCCTCTCAACCCAGCAAGCCTCTGTACTCGGCCCTGGCCGCCCTGGTCCTGGCCTCCACCACCTACCCGCCTGGCGTGGGCCGCTTCCTGGCTTCCAGGGTAAGGGGCGGCGGGCAGGGGCGCGGGAGTGGGGGACCCTATTCATGCCCCTTCTGTGAGCATTAGCACTTAGTCCCCAGAACACCCTCCAAGGGAGATGCTTGTGTGACATTTTATAGGTGAGGAAGCTAGCTCCGGGAGGTCAGGGCTGTCCCCAGGGTCCCCACTGGGAAGTGGCAGAGTAGGATCTGGGGGGCAGGGCCAGGCAGTGAGGGGGCTGGGGACATGCGAAACTGCCACCCCCACCCTGCTGCAGCTGTCCATGAGCGAGCTATTGGACTCCCTGTTCGACAACAGCTCCTGGGCACTGATGGGCCGGAACTCGTCCCCTCCCTGGCCCACGGAGCTCGACCCCCAGAACCTGTGGTTCGAATGGTACCACCCGCGCTTCACCATCTTCGGGACCCTCGCCTTCTTCCTCGTCATGAAGGTGGGCCCCCAGGTGTGCCCAGAGCCAAGGCCAGCTCTGGGCAGGCTGGGGCTGCCTCAGGCGGCATGGAGCCCTTCCACCCAGGGTCCCCCACCTGATGCCTGCTCACTGGGTGCCTGGGGCAAGTAGCTTCGGCCCTCTGACCCTCGGTCTTTTGTCTCTAAGTGGGATTGCTATTGCTTCTGCCTCCAAGGAAGTCTGAGAGGGAGGAAAGGAAAGTACCTGGCAGGCGCCAGGCACACAGTGGGCCCTTTGTCGGCACCGTCCCCTGCATCCCTGATGGCAGCCCCTCCCTAGGAACTCCCTCTGTCCTGTCCCTCCCTTGCCCTGTACTTGGCTCTGAGGCCTCTAATTCCGGGCTCTGGGTCCACCCCCAGTTCTGGATGCTGATCCTGGCCACCACCATCCCCATCCCCGCTGGCTACTTCTTGCCCATATTTGTTTATGGTGAGTCTGGGGTCCCGAGGGTCTGGGAGGTCCAGGGGTATTGGGGCAGGGCCATGGCTCCTGGTTCACCTCCTCCCTCCCGGGGTGGTACTGAGGATGGTCCCAGGGACAGAGGGCTGTCCCCTTCACCCTGCCTGTGTGCAGGAGCTGCCATCGGCCGCCTCTTGGGGGAGGCGCTCTCCGTGGCCTTCCCCGAGGGCATCGTGTCTGGAGGAGTGGTCAACCCCATCATGCCCGGGGGCTATGCTCTGGCAGGTGAGTGGTCAGGGCCTGGCCTGGGCACAAACCTCCTGGGGGCCCTGGATCTGCTGGTGGCACTGCAGGGCCCATGAGTGGTTACTGAGACCCTCAATCTGACCCCCGCCCCCACGGAGGCCTGTCACTTCCTGACTCCCTCTTGGTTCTTGTCCTGTCCCGGTGTCAATCCCCCCATCCCTCTCCTCTGGCCATGCCCAGGCTCCGGGGTGCACCCAGTGGTGGCTGCCAGGGGCCTCCCAGACACCTCCCACCCTGGCCACCTCCCACCCTGGCCACCGTCGTGGCCCTCCCCACCTCCCCCCTTGAAGCTGGCCCCCCGCCTGAGCCACCCACCTCGGCTCTGCCCCGCAGGGGCCGCGGCCTTCTCGGGGGCGGTGACTCACACCATCTCCACGGCACTGCTGGCCTTCGAGCTGACGGGTCAGATCGTGCACGCGCTGCCCGTGCTGATGGCGGTGCTGGCGGCCAACGCCATCGCCCAGAGCTGCCAGCCGTCCTTCTACGACGGCACCATCATTGTCAAGAAGCTGCCCTTCCTGCCGTGGATTCGGGGCCGCAAAATCGGGTGAGCAGGCGGCTCACGTGGGGGGGCCCAAAGAAGCCCCTGGGCAGCCATGTGGGACAGGGGTGGGAGGGGCTGGCACTCGGGGCCCCTGGCCTCAGCCTCCCCGGGGCCGCACTGGCTGCCTGAAGCTGGGGCTCAAGTGCTGTCTTGCGCCAGGTCCTGAGGGCCAGCACCAGATCTGAGATCCTCTCTGTCCTCCTGGCTCTTTCTCTGGGGTCCTGGCTCGTTGTTGGAGGTGGACACGGAGTGGGCTTCGAGGCCCTCGCTCCCCCAGGGAGGACCCCGAAGCTCCTGTCCCCAGGGAAGCGGGACTCTGAGGCTCAGGGCCCCTGGGTTGAGGTTCGGCGCCCACGGATGCAAACTGCCAGGTTGCCCCAGGCCTCAGCTGCCCGCTGCAAGGCCCGGGTGGCTACTCCAGGGGCTTCCACATTTTAAAGTCTTTTTTCCTCCCATCTAACTTCCCCTCCAATGAGATTCTCCGGGAAGGCTGCCGGATGGAACAGCCCAGCAGAGCTGTTGGGGACGCAGGGCCTCAGTGACATGGCCCCAGGTTCCTGTCCACCGGAGGGCCCGGGAGGCACTCATTGCAGCAGCCCCTCAGTCTCCTCCCGCACTGGAGGATCGTGGTCCTGACCCAGCAGAGCCAACCCCTAGGGGCCCCTGCCCCATCCTGGGATCTGATGTCCCCACTCCAGGACCTAAAGGGAGCATCCCCCTGCCCGCAGCTCCCACCCCGTGATCGTGGAGCACTTCATGACCTGCTCTCTCACCACGCTGGCCAAGGACACGCCGCTCGAGGAGGTGGTCAAGGTCGTGACCTCCACAGACGTGGCCGAGTACCCCCTGGTAGAGAGCACAGGTGCCCAGGGAAGGGCTGGGGTGGGGGCTTCCCTCTGCCTTCCCATAGGGCCTCCAAGGATCAGGACCAGAAAAGGCAACCAGGGTGTAGATCCCAACCGGATCCAGGCTCTGCAGCTTAGCAGCTGTGTGACATTGGGCAAGTCCCTTCACCTCTCTGAGCTTCAGTTTCTTCATCAATAAAATGGACATAAAACCACGTGTTTAAGGGATAAAAGAGGGGTGTTGTAAGGTACCCCATGAGCTGCTTTGGGGCTCATTGAAGGAGCCTGGCCTGGTGGCCTGTGGGTTGGGGAAGGCTGATGGGCCACTGTTAGGGTCTTCCAGAAGCTTCCCTCCGGGCTTCCCTGCAGAATTCCCTACCTGAGTGCCCTCTCCCAGTGACAAAGCATGTTTGTAAAGACAAATGAATGGTGGCTCTTCCACAGAAATGGAATCTCAGGGAAGGAGTGAACCAGACATCTTTCCTGTTTGAAAGTCCAGTATCTAAGTAAAGATAAGTTGGGGAGGGGTGGCCCTGCTCCATCAGGGCTACTACCAGCCACACGTCCCCTCTGTGTAGTGAGACAAGGTGCACATGACATAGCTGGATTTAGTCCCTACTTGTCCTTTGGGCTGGCATCTGGAGCAGTAAGCAACCTGTACAACCTTATGGGTCCCCCCGTGTGCCGCCTCAAGAGGCCACTGATGAGCTCAAGAACTGTGGCTGCATAAGTCAGTGCCCTTGTCTGGAAAACGGGGATCACTATGGTAGAAGGTTGCTAGAGGTCATCACCCAAATATCAGGCACTCCTCCGAACCCTAAGGAAACCCTCGGCACTACCTTCCAGAACAGGCCTGAATCCCATTTCAAGATGCTGCACGTGGCTGACCCTGCCAAGAGGCTTTCCTCCTCAACGAAGAGTTGACCTGAAAGATCTCTTCTGCTGAGTCACGGGAAGCAAGGAGGTCCCAGGCAGAGGGGACCAGGCGGTGCAATCACCGCCCACCCAGAAAACAGCTCTGCTGATTGCAGGCGGGGAGAGTGCTTATAATTCTAGTTCCAGTTCTTTCCTTGTGGTGCTGGGTCGAAGGAACCCAGGCCCCACTCGCGCGAGGTGGGTGCTCTAGGCCTCAGTGGCACACCCAGCCTGGAGTTTGTATTTTACTGGACGCAAGGTTAAAATGCCAAGCTCGCTCCTCCAGCCTGCAAACTCCCCTGATAACCCAGGGCTAGAGAGAGGCTTGCCGAGCACCCAGCACACAGTAGAATCACAGAACATGGCGGCCCCCTGGGTTCACTCCTACCCTGGCTGAGCTGGCTGTGGAGCCTCCTGTGGGAAACAGAGGAGGAAGCCCAGTCCTGCTACCCTCCTGGCCCCCAGCGGCCTTCCCAACCACCTGAGCTTCCGCACCCCCACGCCAGAAGCTGGGTGACCTTGGGCAGGACAAGAGGTCCTCTGCGCCTCGAAGCCTCAGTTTCCTCTTTTGTAAAATGAGCAATCAGGGTTATAGCAGACCTAGGCTGCCCCACGCCCTCAGAGACACGGGGCGCAGCACTGTCCTTGACCTTGTAGATTCTTGGTAAAGGAGAACTCCTTCTCTGTGACTCGGCTCTCTCTCCGCTTTTGCTAGAGTCTCAGATCCTGGTGGGCATCGTGCCGAGGGCCCCGCTGGTGCAGGCCCTCCAGACCGACCCCCCATCCTGGGCTCCAGGACAACAGGTAGGTCCTCTGAAGGATGAGGTCAGAGGGTAGTGACGGGAGGGGCCAGCTGACCTGCCCGAGAGGTGGCCTGAGAGTGGCAGCCTGGGGGGGAGGCTGGCCCAGGGCCCCACTGTGTGTCTTCCATCTCCAGCGGTGTCTCCAGGACATCTTGGCTGGGGGCTGCCCCATGGAACCAGTGACCCTGCAGCTGTCCCCAGAGACCTCCCTGCACCAGGTACCGGGGAGCATTAGAGAATGCGGGCAGACTCGGGCTGCGGGGTGGGCACACAGGGAGCAGTTGGCAGCCCCTCCCTTGTGCTGGGCTGCTCTCTGTTCCTCCTCTGTAGGTGCCACCCGCCTGCCCCTCACTGCCAGGGCAGAGGCCTCTGGGTAGAGAGAGGGGTCAAGTGTTACGTGGGGCCTGGTGGCTTTTAATTTTAGGTCCAGCGCATGCTTCCTATGTAGTAGCCACTCAGGACAGAGCCTGGGGAGGGGAAGAGCACAGCAGACCAGGGGTCTCCGGGGGACCTTGCTGGTAAAGGCCACCTTTCCACCAGAGCCTTGCCCTGCTCCTTGCATGGACTCTGGCGACCCCTGGTGGTCACATTAGATATTGCAGGCCAGGTCCCTCCTACCCAGCCTGCCGGCCCCCCATCTCAGGTCCTGGCATAGGGTCCCCTGCCCACCTACATTTCCTACCAACCTCCCCTACAGACGCACAACCTCTTTGAGCTGTTGAACCTTCAGTCCCTCTTCGTGACGTCACGGGGCAGAGCTGTGGGCTTCGTGTCCTGGGTGGAGGTACCAGGGTCTCAAGGGCAGGGCGATGTGGAGTGGGGGGCACCAACATCCTTCCATTCAAGGTTTGGGGGCCTCGAAAGACTTTGATAAGCCCCATACCTGAACCAGTGTGGCCACTGGGCCTTGGCTACCCCTAACAGCCGGCCTGCCGCTCTGGGCAGCAGGGACCCCTCTGCACAACCACGAGGCTGCAGCTCAGACGCTGGCCCAAGAACCCACCACTAGGGCAGTCACCACGCCAGGGCCCCACTCTCAGCCTCCTCCACGTGCTTTCTCCCCAAACCCCGTTTCCTCTGTTGTAGTTGAAGAAAGCGATTTCCAACCTGACAAATCCACCTGCCCCGAAGTGAGCCCACCCAGCTACCCCATGCCAGGCCGGGCAGAGACCTTCCTCTCTTCCCCACCACAACCCACCCACGCCTCCAGCCCAGCTCCGTGCCTTGTGGAGCAGGCAGCGCTACAGAGCCCTGAAGAGGCCCTGCATCCGCTGTGTCCCATCCTGGGGCCAACAGCAGTTATTGCTTGAAGGACAAACCCCACCCTGGATGGGGCTGCGAGCGTGAGGGGCACAGGGTGCCCAGAGAGTGGTCATGAAGCTCAGGAATGAAGAGATGGCACCTGTGCTTTCTGGGGGTTGTCTGTTCCCAACCAAAAGATCCTGAGAAAAACAGAGGCGCTCCTGAGCGGCCATCCATCCTGCTCCCAGGGCTGGCCCCTTGGCTCCCCTGTGCTAGCTCAGAGTGAGCCCTTGAGGCTGCTGATGGCCACCTGGGTTTTGCAGGCCTGGATCCCTGGTCTTCTCCTCGTGCCCCACTCCCCAGCAGGGAGATGCTGGGGGGAGAGCCCTCCCGCCCAGGTCCTATGATGCTTGTCCTCATGAATAAACAGGACTCTGCACAATTACTGTCACTCCAGCCCTAGTTCCCTTGGCTGAGTCATGGCTGATCAGGTGGGGTCCCCCAGGTTTGTCCTTGGGGAGTCCATGAGCCTGGGGCATCCTGCACGGGGCCTCTCCCATGTGGAAGGCTGTGGTCAACCAGCGGTACGTTTCCTTCCCTACTTCCTCTAGACAGGGCCCAAGGACATGCCGTCAGGAGCAGAGACCAGGCCAAGCTCATCCAGGGTGAATCCACCACTTTAATGTCACCAGAGAACATTGAGGGGGACGGGGCGGGGTGGGGGTGGGACACCAAGGAAGCAGGCTCAGAGGGCAAGGAGCAGACACTCTGGAGACCGCAGAGGAGTGGGCGCTGAGCTACCAGTAGAGACCACCCCATCTTTGACAGGGACCGATGCACAGAGGGAGTGGGGAGGAGCGGAGCCAGGCTCCAGGTGGGGTCCCAGGCTCCCAATGGCCGTGCAGTTCCTCTGATGGTGGTCTCCCTGAGGCCAGCTGCCCTGGCATCTGCTGAGAGTCCTGGAGCTCACTGAGGGCAGAAGGCCTGCAGGGAAGGTGCCCACCTGACCGAGTTCAGAAGACAGAGGGAGCCCATGGCTTCCCCGGCCGGGCAGGTCCGCAGAGGCACAGAGGTCCACAGGAGTGCTGGCCTCATCCCTGCTGCACCTCCCGTGCCTGCCCTGAGGGTCAGGAGATGCCCAGCTCGGACCCCACGGTCCCGGCGATCCTGGGCTGCCCGCCAGGCAAGGTGGAGGTCTGAGCAGACGCTGGAGCAGAGGGGGCAGCCTCAGTTGTAGAACACCTCGTCCTCAGAGAGGGAGCCGCTGTTCACCGAGGGCAGGGAGCCCTGCAGGTGGGCCCCGCCCTCGGGCCCCAGGCCCCCCAAGAGCTGCTGTTGACACTGCTGTTCAGAGCTGGGGGCCGGGGGGCTGGCAGCTGTGACGGGGGGCTCTTGGGGCGAGGGCCAGCCATCCGTGGAGAGGCCAGGGGAAGAGAAGGCCGGAAGACTGTCGTCCTGCGAGGGGACGCTCAGAAGGCTGTCCTGCAGGTAGATGCTCTCCAGGTCTGGAAAAGCAAACAGGGTGTGGGGCGCTGACCCTGCGTCCCCTGCTCGCCCTCTCTGGGCCTGTGAGGGAGCCCAAGGGCACGAGACCTGTCCCTCTCCTGCTGGAGAGCTCCCAGCGCAGAACCCCGGAGCCCAGTGCCTAGTCAAGAGCAGGCTCAGGGGACTGGGACAAGCAGTGCTCCCCTCCCCCGGGTCAGAGGAAGGATCAGATGAGGTGACTTAATGCAGGACCCAGGTTCGCTGACCCCCTCCCTAGTCTCTCGGAGTTCTAGAAAGGTGTTTGGGGGTGCCTGGGGGTCGGCTCCAGATCCTGGCTCGGACACTCCCCGCTGTGACCCTCCTGTGAGCCTCTGGACCTCGTAGCGCCTCCGTATTCTGGGGTGGGGACAATGGGATTTGCTCCCCAGGGCTGCGGGGGAGACTAAGGAAGTGCCTGGTGTGGCAGACGCCTGATTCTTACATCGCAGTGGCTGTCCCTCTGCTCCGGGCACGCCGTGGCCAATGCAGAGCGAGCAACCCCCGACCCATTCTATAGCACAAACCGAGGCTGAGGGGAGGAAGGGGAGGCCACGCACGCTGCAGCTGGTGCCAGGGCAGGGGACGGCCTGTGCTCTGCTCCTCCCGCCCCGCCCGGCCCCCGCGGGCTGTACCCTGGAGCTGGACAGCGTCCTGGGGGCTGCTGTCGGGGTGCAGCTCCTCATCGTCCAGCGAAGACCAGGCGCTCAGAGTGGCCTCGGTGATGGCAAACTGCTCAGCAACGCCTGGGGGACAGTGAGGCCAGCTCGCTGGGGACACAGGCGGGTGGGCAGGGCCTCCCAGCCAGAGCAGGCCTGTGAGCTGGCCAGCCGTGCCCAGGGGACCAAGGACGCCCTGCCCTGCCCACCCCAGGCCTCTACTTTCCCTGCCCAGACAGTGGCCACCTGTGGTGACCTCTGTCTCCTCCCTGTCCCCTGCTGACCTGCAGCAAATCGAGCCTCTCGCAGCTCATCCGGGAGGCAGCAGTAATGCTCATCCTCAGCTGGGGACAGCTCCCAGCCCGACTGCTGGGCACTCCAGCCCTTCCACTCGATGAGGTGGGCCACCCGGCCCCGTGCCATGGCCGTGGGCTTGGTGATGTGGTCCTTGATGCTCTGCACCACCCCTGGGTCATTGAGGGCAATCGATGGCTGTCCCACAAGGCCCAGCTCCCGACCCCCAATACCCTTGGCCCACCCCAGGGTCTGGACCCCACAGCCACGCATCCCCGAGCCCGATGCCAGACACAACCCCGTGGCTGCACCTGTGCCTTCCCCATGCCCAGCCCATGCCTCACTCACTGCCCCAGGCCTGCCCTGTGCCCTCCCAAGCTGGACCCCACCTCCCAGGACCCCACCCACTCACATGCCTGCCCCTCCAGTGTCCTCCTCCCAGTGGACACGTGGGCCACTGAGCGCTTCTTTCTTAGGTGGCCACCACCCCACTTCCTTTCTTACCCAGGGTCCCCCAGCCCCGCCCACCCAGGGACAGTTCCTGGGAGCATCTCTGCTCTCAGCTCTGCTGGCAGCAAGGCCTGGGTGGTCGAGCAGGGAGGGCTTCMTGGAGGAATGGCCCCGAGTTTGGAGGCAGGTTGGGACCGGGCAGGTGGAGGCGAGGCTGGGGCTATTTCAGAGATGAGAGGCGGGAAGCACCTGGTGTGATTCCAGCCCCACGGGGAGACACGGGGATGACCGCAGGACTAGGACAGCAGGAGATGGGAGCCCCCAGGGGCCAGGCTGGGCCTAGAGAGCCAGGCTGAGGCTCAGGTGTCCTCACAGCAGCGGGGGCCGCAGCAGGAGAGGGACAGATTGGCCCAGCTTCCTGATTGGAGGATCAGGGTTCAAGGGTGAAGGCAAGGGCACCACGGGGGGTCACTGCAGGGACCCAGAAAAAGTAAAGGCCACTGGAATGGTGGGAGGAGGGGGTTCTCAGGCTTGGACGGAGGGGCAGGGCTGGCAGGGTGGCTCTGCGTCTCCGTGACCCGCGGCCGAGAACACAGACCTGGGGTTCACAGTGTTCCTGAAGCCACAGTGGCACAAGGCCACGAGAAAGGGTGGCATTTAGGACAGATGAGGTGGCCACAAAGCAAATGGGGACCTGGGGCGGCAGGACAGGCCCAGGGGAGGCAGAGCGGGAGAGCTGAGTCCCCGGGTGGCAGGGTGCTGGCAGTCGGGGGTTTGGGGGAGTGGGGTTCACAGGTACCAGGGGAAGCTGTTTCCAGGGAGCGTGGGCAGCAGGGTGCTCCGGGGAGCCGTGAGGGATCTCATGCAAGGGGGGCCTGAGGCGTGGGGGGGTGGCGAAGCTGGCTGACAGGCGGGCTGGCCCCGAAGGCTGGTCAGTGCCACCAGAGCAGCGTCCCAGGAGCAGCGCAGCCCCCGCCCTCCCCAGGCTGCGTGCCCACCCCAGCGCCTCCGGTGCACTGTCTTGGTTCACACCCGCACCCTCTCTGGAGAGCCGCCGAGGCTTGCGGCTGCCCCACCTGAGAGGCCGCGAGGTGGCAGAGTCCTCCCAGGGCCACGCAGGACTGGCCAGTGGGGGACATAAAGCCAGCCCCCTTGCCTCAAATGCTGCCAATTCTGAGGGGCACTTGGGGCTGCAAGCTCCCGGGGGGCTGGCAGGAGACTCCCAGAACCGGATCCAGGCTGAGCACCAAATCTGGGCCAACCTCGAGCATCTTCAGAAGCCAACAACTCAACCCCTGGCAGCAGGAACCCTTGGGTCACCCGGAGCCCAGCATGGAGCCCGGCGCTTGGAAAACAAGGAATCCAAAGGGCCGCCGTCCTCCAGCGGCAGTTCAGCTTTGCCTTCCCAAGTTCACTTACGAGGTGGAGCATGCCAGCTCCAAGGGCAGGAGCGGGCGGCGGGAACCTACCCACAAGGGACGAGGTGGCCAGGGCTGCCACGCCGTAGTTGCCGGAGCAGGCCCTGGAGTCGGACAGGTAGCCGTTGGTGGTCTGGAAGCACCTCTGGAGGAAGCAGGGAGGAGTCAGCAGGAGGGCAGGCTGCCAGAGGGTGTCCCCACACCACTGCAGCCCACCCCAGGCCCTTGGGTGGTGGGCCGGCAGAGGGCAGGTACAGCCAGGGAGGGCCTATCCCCCCACCCAGGGCTGGCAGGATGTGGGCCTGGGCTGGGCACAGCAGGTGCAGATGGTGTCAGCTGCGGCTGGCTAAACTGGGGACAGCAAGTGCACTGACCTGCCAAGGATCCCAACAGAAATCCATCTGTTTGTCCTACAGCAAGAGGAGAAAGAGGGTCAGGCAGGGCCCGGCACACCCTGCCAGCAGATGGCCGAGCCCTGGCTCCCCAGGGCAGGTGTGGGTCGGCCTCTGGTGCTCCAGGAGGTGGAGTCTGCACTCATGGGTCATGCCCT